ATTACGACGATTACCAAGACACTGTTAGATCCACAACCCGACCCGGAGGACGAGTACTGCGAAATTGACGGCCAGCTCTGCATTCCACGTGTGGTCGACGACCCGGAACTCACTGCCCAAGCACTGCCTACCGAAGATACTTTAGTTACTGTCACCAAACCTTGGAGCGAGCTTGACAGCCCAAAGTTGACCATCGGCGCGGCAGGCATCCTAAGTACACTGCATTACGAGCAGGCTTCCGACAACACTGGAGAGCTTGAGCCGGACGATGTTGTCGTTGAAATCAAGGCTGTTGGACTCAATATGCGGGACGTCTCGGTAGCACTTGGCCAGGTCCATGATGAGACCTTCGGAAGCGAGATCGCTGGAGTCGTGGTACGCACTGGTTCATCACACGATGGGGGCTTCCAGATTGGTGATCGCGTTTTCGGTGTCGCACGAGATGGCATTGCGCAAATTGCCCGCTGCAAGCTCTCACAACTGCACAAGATGCCGGACAGTATCAGCTTCTGCGATGCTGCTGTTTATCCAGTGGCATTCTGTACGGCCTACTACGGCTTGAAGCAGTGTGTCGGTATACAGGGTGGCGAGTCCATCTTGGTCCACAAGGCTGCTAGCACGCTCGGCCGAGCGATCATCCAAATCGCCGTTCTCCACGGATATACGAAAGTCTTTGCGACTGTATGCACACCTGAAGAAGCGGCTTTCCTGGAGAAGAACTTCAACGTTCCGACGTCGAACGTGTTCCTCACTGGCAATCTCGACTTCCAGCATGGTATCCTCCGTTTGACAGGAGGACGAGGTGTTGATGTTGTGATGGGCTCTGAAGAAATCTTGCAAGACTCTTGGCCATGTATCGCTTCGTTCGGACGCTTTGTTGGCATTGGAGAAAAGGACGTCTTCAACTCGACTGCGAATGGCTCAAACGAGATTGCGGTACCTTCTACAACGAAGAACATTACTTTCATCAGCGTCAACTTCCAGGACCTAGCACAGAGCCATTTATTTGCTGGCATCTTCAAAGATGTGCTATCACTGATGGAAGGTGGTAAGATCACCATGTCTCTATCTCCGACCGTGTTTAGGCAGGGTAGTATTCACCAGGCTTTCCAGTCGCTCAAAGATGGAGAGACGCTTGGAAAAGTAGTCATCGAGATGGCTGGCGACGAGATTGTGGAGGTGGAACTTTCGCCAGATTCTGACAAGCCATTGTTCTCTTCGGACGCCAGCTATCTTGTCGCTGGCGCATTTGGCGGTATCGGCCAGAGCATTGCTACGTGGATGGTACACAATGGAGCCAAGCATCTAATCTTGCCGTCACGATCAGCAGTCGAGGGTACTGGATCTGAGCGCGATTACTTCATGCAAGGACTGATGGCACAGGGCGCCGCAGTGTATGCTCCAGTATGCGACGTCGCCGACTATGACCAGCTTAAGGAGACTCTTTCATCCTTCCAAGCTCTTCCGCAAATCAAAGGGTGTGTCCAAGCAGCAATGGTAATGCGCGACTCTTCCTTCGCAAAGATGTCGAGCGAGAAGTGGCATGAGTCACTCGCGCCCAAGGTAGACGGCTCCTGGAACCTACACCAGCTTCTACCTGCCGATCTCGACTTCTTCGTCATGTTGTCATCTTCCACCGGTATCATGGGCTCGTTCGGTCAATCAAATTACACTGTTGGCAACACATACCAGGACCAACTAGCGGCCCATCGTATGCGTCACGGCCAACGTGCTCACACCCTCGCCCTGAGCATGGTCACCGGTGTTGGCTACGTCGCTCAGAACGAGCAAGTACAAGCTTTGCTCCGCGTGCGGGGTATGCTGGAGGAGGTGCCCATGAGTGACATCTACAAGCTGCTACGCTTCTGTTGTGACCCCGAACGCGTCGATGCAAGCACCGTCGGGTCCCAGATCATCACACCCTTGACCCTGCCGGCTGATCTCCGTGCCATGGGTATCGTGGCACCTCTCGGTAGTACGCGGCCGCTATACCACTATCTCGACACGCTCCCTTCGCGCTTCTCTTCCGACACCGCGACCGCCGAAGCCAAGAATCGCCCTTCGTACAAGCTCTCGGAGGCCACGAACCTCGCTCAAGCCACCGATATCGTTGTCGACGCGATCCAGAATCAGCTTTCCAGTCTCTTGGTTGTCAGCAAGGACGACATCGATCCTCAGAAGGCGATCTATCGGTACGGCGTGGACTCGTTGGTCGCGGTGGAGATGCGGAACTGGTTTTCAAAGGCTATCGGGGCGGACGTTGGGACTGTGGATATCATGAGTGATATCAGTATCTGGTTGTTGGCCGTCAAGGTCGCGGGCAAGAGTAAGTTCGTCAAGGAGGAAGTGAAGGAGTAGACTGCCACAGCGGAGATGGGAGTGCGGCTTGACGCAGACCGGGGTCTGGTCTCGCGCTGGTCAGTGAAGTGAATTGCGTGATTACATACATACATATATTTCAATGTGTTGTCTTGTCAGCTTCTAGGTGTCATTGCGAGGTCCACCAAAACATGATGACGCAGGCGTTCGTTATGTACGAACCTCGGAAGTGACGCGACGCGACGCGACGTGACGCGTGCGGGCTTGCTGCTGACTCATCCGCACTAGAGCTCGGCAATCCGGTGATATTCGTTGGAGCACCCAACATCACCCAAGCAATCGCTCCTCTGCCCTCCTATGGCCATGATATCGGAGGCCAAGAAACAGCGAATACCCCGAAAAGAGCATCTTCCAAAATCGCTTACCACCCCGGCAACTCCTCGGCAGCAATCACCTACATCAGTCACGTATCAGCATCGTCATCACAGCAGTCGTTTCAGGGCTATCAGTAAGAGCTAGAAGTATGGGAGTACATGAAATCCAGGCCATTAGATCGTCATCTCCCCCCTGTCGCCATCTCACTTCTTTACCATCAACCCTTTAATATCCGTTTCCAGTTCCTCTTTACAAGTGCAGCTGCTTTCATCATGATACACATCTTCAGGTCTCGCGACCGGGCATCCATCCGCCTCGATCTCAAAGGTAATATCTTCAGACGTAAGACTCAGCACGTTCTCCGTCAGAATCCTCTCCCACCATACCAGCATCTCCCCCGTAATCCGTGCATCCACCCAGTTTCGGGATCCATCGAATGTGGTACGCCAATACCCACGCGCATCAAGAACAACGCGCAAAGTCTTCAGCTTGGGGATGTTCTGCTGCCAACTCCTTGGTATCTGTCTTGCCGGCTGCCAGAGGAGACCTAAGCCTCCGTAATCATTACGAGAAACTGACTGAAACCGGAATTCCAAGTGGCGGATTTCGCTCCCGACACGTAGCGATGGTCGATGTCCGTAATGCAGCGTATAGTCCGTGACCTGGAAGACGTTGTTATTGTAATATGCGGCTTTTGCTATGGTCGCGAAATCTGTACGGAGTAGGGGAAGGAGGCGTAACTTCATTAGGGCCCAGTGTTTTGTGTAGGTGATTGGAGTTGGGAAGGTTAGGTGCTGCTCCAGAACCATGATTCTTAGCTCTGCTGGAAGCTTATGCCAGTATTGGATGAAGATTGAGTCTTCTGAGTCGGCCTCCACTGGTGAGTTTGCGGAACCTGTGGTTGTAGTGACTTGATCGGGCATTATGGTTGTGGAGTAGAATCGGTGAGGTAAGCTTGGTGAGTTGGGAAAGGAACGGTTGATATGCCGATGGATGACATGGTCTATACGGCTACATGGAGGGTGTTTTTACATAGTCGCTGGCCAAGCTGGTAGTAGTGAACCGCATTGTAGGTGGAGGTGAAAGCAACCTCACATCACTTGTTACATGGGATTTGCACGCGCGCCACACGATCCTTGCCGCGATATGACTCTCCTCCAGACCACTCGAAGGTGTTTGCGAATAGCAAATGCTCTTGAGATTAACAAACGAATATCCATTCACCCAGGTTCACGATGACTTTCTCGCCTTGAAACCACTCACCACACTCACATGCATGGCAACCGCTATCGCACCCCAAGAGACAGCGTCTTTCCATTCATGGCCAGACTTACCTACTGAACTCCAACTAGAAGTCCTCGGTTACGCCCTTACCTTTTCCGAGCCTATCGCTAAGGACACCAGTTACCAAGCGGTGAGCTTGTTGATACCCATCTTACGCTGTGGCAACACGGAGCTGGCCGTGCTCGCCCGTGAAAGCTGTAAGTGAAATGGGGGATCTGGTCAACTAGGCTCTGCACATCTAAATCAACAACTGACAGAGACAGACTACAAAAGCAACAAATTCGTCACCAGAGTTCCTTTTTTCTCGCCGTTCTTTCCTAAATTCCCGCCATTTGATGCGTGTAAGTAGATCCGGAGATTTAAAGTCACTTTCAATCTCTATACATCACGACCCAATGACCAAAACCTCGATATGGATACAGCTTGGAGAGTTCTCGTTGCGTCCACTCAGATGATACCAGGCCAAGATGTCACGCATGGAAGCGCTGTTCTACGAGCAATTCGACGGTCTACCAACTGGCAGACGCGTTTCCCCCATCTGAAAACATTCCATCTCAACGTCAAGATTCGCACCGATCCCACAGACCTTGTGAGGTACTACTTGTCACGTGGAAAACCATCGCCGCCTACTTTCCGCTGCATTCTCGACTTCAAAGACGTTGTACGTGACGCTTTGCGGCATTGTGAGCATCGAATGCAGGCTAAAGAGGTCGTAGTACGAGTGTATTGCGAGGGCTGCAGAAACATCGGACTGTCTCAAACTCAGCCGGCTCGGGTCACAGAGCATCAGATATCGCCACCGCTATGCACGTGTGAGCATGAGTTGGAAGAAGGTCTGGCTAAGGTATTTGGAAAAGACTAGGGATTTGCAAAGCGCGATGGATTATGTAGGAAATGGCCAAAGCGTGTGGTTTGGACGTCCGCTATGTTGCGGGCAGAGCTGTGTACCGGGGGACGCATTCAGGTGGTACATTTATACCCGTGCCACAGCATGACGCATAGGGATCAACTACACAAATAAGTTAGCAATGTATCGTCTCGCATGATTCGAGAGGAGAGAAGGATTGCATACCGGATTCCCTGGTGCTAGTCGACGACATCAATGCACGCTTGTACGAAGCCGACTTGCCAACAACATCTCCATCCCATTTACCGGTCGAACCCAGCCCCTCGATGACACTTTCGAAGTACCTCAGCTGCGGACATAACTCCAGCACCTCCTGAACCCGCTGATTCTGCCATGGCATGACTGTACCAGATCTAGATTCGATCTGAAGAGAGCGGAGTTGAGGTCCAATGGCATCACAAACCCTCGTGACTGCTTTGTCAAAGCTACCAATATACACGTTCGACGTGCTTCCAGCAACCAGCTTCAGATCTGACAACAATGGCACAGTTTCCAGGAAAATTTGGAGAGTAGCGTGGTCGATAGAGGACGGGTTCAAACTCAGCGTGTGTAGCTTGGGTACTAGACCAGCAATTTCTCGTAGCAGGTGTTCAGAATTAGCGGATGCCACATCCAAGATGCGCATCTCACTCCAGTCCATGGTGTAGGCCCAATCGCTGCAGTGCTTAGGACTAAGCTCGTAGGCAGGCGCAAGGTCATCAGCTCTGGAGATGACCAGCTCTTCGAGCGTAGGGAACGTATCCGTTTCCTGGAATCGGAAATGAGATCCGCCAACGGCCATTGCCGTGTAGCTATTGCGTTGACTTCTCGCAGCCATGGTAAAGTGTTGCTGTTTGCTGAGACGCAACCGCAGGACCTTGAGGTTGCGACCCCGCATGAGTAGTGTCTTAAGCTTGGAGAGATCGCTGTTTTCGTCTTGCTGACGTGTTGCTCCCCTATGGAAGCACCGGACTGTAATGTCGAGTGTGTGAAGCTGAGGCGATGAAAGGAGAGCTTCATCTAGAGCAAGATCCTTGCGGTTGTGGTTCGTGACTTTCAGCTGAGCTGAAGGATGATTGCGGTGCAGCGCCTCGAGAACACGCAAGGGGATAGCGTAGTTGGCGTTCCAACTAAATGATGCAAGGTTTTGTGTGCATTCTATAATCTGTAGAATCGTCGCGGGGGAGATGTAGCTACGATTGGGATAAGATGGGATGACCAAGTGACGCACTGTTTTCGCCAATCTACCACCGTTCCGTTTTAGACTGCTCACGATGCTTGTGGGGGAACCGGGTCCGCTGTTCTTGGGTCTGCTCGAGGTGATAGTACGAAAAGGCCATCCCAGGCCATTGGTGATGCGTGCAGTCATAGTTGAGCCTCGCTCTTTGCAAGCACCCACGGTGATAGTGCGGAAGATAATTGCCTCGCATTGATTGCGACATGTATGCGAAACAAGGCTGAGCGAGATCTGGTCTGACAGTGAGAGCTAGACAAATGTTAACGGAAGTCAAAGTGTTTTGCACTGGTGAGGTGCACTTGATCAAGAAGAAGGCGATATATGTCTGTCGGTAAGTCGGGTAGTTTCATCTTTCTTTTGTTGATTACTGGCGAGTCGGAACGAAGAAAGGAGAGTACGATACGCGATACTTGATAGCGACGTGCAGAGAAGATGCGCAAATAATCCAAAGTATCAATGAACGAGCTTACGTGCATGCCTTTCGTCTTTATGATGATAATGTCGCGAGGCTGTGATCGCATCGCATATTGTGGCGCCGTGGCTGGGGTCGCAGGCAGACACGGAGGGGCAAGCTGCGCCACGCTGTGTGCCTGAGTCCCGGGCATGTATCAGACGACCACATGCGCCTTGTCGCAGCAGCGCAACCGAGTAATCGAGATGGCTAGTTGGTTCACGTAATAACAGGATTATTATGCATGATGCGAGCGGGACAGTATTCGATGGTTACCTTTAGTACGGCGAGTGATTGTGCTATTGCAATAGTGTTTCCTGCTCTTCCTTTGAAATACCGAAGAGATATAGTACATCCAGCATGCTTTTGGAGTTGAGACGAGCAGGAGCTTGCATCTGCACCTTTGGCTTCGCGTGGAAGGCGACGCCCAGACCGGCGACGCCCATCATAGGAAGATCGTTGGCACCGTCGCCGACGCATATTACCTGATCGAGGAGTATATTCTCCTTCTCGGCAATTTCTAGAACGTGCTGACGTTTCTTCTGAGCGTGCACGATCTCACCGGTCAGTTCGCCTGTGAGTGTGGCTCCGTCTTCAGAAACGACCAGGTGGTTAGCAAAGGCATAATCAAGGCCAAGTTGCTGCCCCATCCATCCTGTTAAAGGAGTGAAGCCTCCGCTAAGTACTGCTGTCTTGAATCCTAATCGCTTCAGGGCGGTGATGAGATCCTTGACACCCTCGTTCAATGTTATCCTTGGCTTCAACGTCTCGAAAACACTGCTTGGCACGCCCTTGAGCAGCTTGCATCGTGCGCGCAGACTAGCCTCGAAGTCGAGCTCACCGTTCATGGCAGCAGCGGTGATGGCGGATACCTCCTTCTCCACGCCTATCAGCGAAGCGATCTCGTCAATGACCTCTTGCTGTATGAGGGTGCTGTCCATGTCGAACACAGCAAGCCTCTTGTAGCGCCGGTGTATGGTGTCTGACTGGAAGACGCACTCGACGTTCCACTCGCGCTCGAAGCGCGACACGGCTTCATGCCTGCGCAACGTCTCAAGCGCGACGGGCGAGGCGCTTGGCAAGGGGAACGTGACTTCGACTACCCTACAAAGCTTGCTTGCCTCCAGCCTCTTGCTCGTTATGGTGTTCTGCTCCAAGCCAGTTATGATGCTGGTGAGGGTGACGAAGAACTCGGTGAGGCAGCTTTGGCTGACGTAGCTTCCGTAGAGATTGTCGCGGGCGTTGGGCCCTGGTGTCGGCGGTTCGAGGGGGTAGTCTGCAAGATTCTCGGTGGGCACGGCGCCGTCCTTCAGCGACTCGAGGGAAGCGGAGGGAATTGGGTCGCCGGGACTTCGGGGCGACAGATCGGCGTGCTGGAAGAAGTTGGGCGTGTCGGCCTTGTAGAAGAGCGTCGCGACGATGTGCGTGGCCGACACGTCGAGGGCGGGAGGTTTGGCCGCCATGATGGGATGAATCGGGAATAGCTTGGTCGCGATACCTTCGGACCTTTAGTACCCAGGTGGTCCAGAGGAGCGGACGTGGATGAGGAGCTGCTGCTGTATGACTTGTTTGCAAGGCGGGGACGCATGCGACTGGAAATTTCGGCAGGGGTTCAGGCACAGCAGCGCTAGCCTGACAACCCCACCAGCTCGTGTGTGGACACTCGAGACGTCGCCCATGTCATCTTACCACGACCATGTCTGACGGCTGATCGACCTCGCATTCGCGTGTGCACTTCTCGGTCGTACTTCTCCCCTTAGTTGCAGACTAGGGATAATGCAACAGGCTCAACACTGGGGCAGCCTATCATGGCCGCGGGCTCCCACTCGACTAGGTGGATGGGCGACCTTACGCTCGCGAGCCGAGGCTGCTCTCCTTAGTGCGCCAGGTGAGAGCTCCCCGGGGCCTGCACCTCCACGGGCGTACATGCGGGTACCTCACGATATAAGAGCCATACCCAGCCTCACCCTCATAGTACCCCATAGTACTTGTTCAAACACCTTCACTCAGCGACAACCACTGCAATGGACGACTACAAACCACAGAAACCGAACGTCCTTCAGTCGCCGCCTATCGACATCACCGTCCCCTACGATGCAGCCTGGGTCAAGGGCAAGGTCGTACTCATCACGGGAGGAGCGAGTGGCTTTGGTGCGGGTTTCGTGCGGAAATGGGTAGCTGATGGCGCTACAGTCGTCGTGGGAGATATCAGTGTTCAGAAGGGAGACGCGCTCTGTCGTGATATCAACAAAGACAGCAAGAACGGCGGCAAAGCCCACTTCGTGCACTGCGACGTGACGGACTGGCAGTCGCAGGTCGACCTCTTCAAGAAGGCAGTCGAGCTGAGCCCGCACGGGGGTATCGACACGGTCGTCGCAAATGCAGGCATAGCAGGTCGCGACGTCCTCCAAGAACCTGCAAACCTCGATGCGGCTGCACCACCCCCACCCGTCTTCAAGATCATGGACGTGAACCTCACTGGTGTGCTATACACCACTCACCTGGCCTGCTTCTGGCTGCCCAAGAATCCCGGCTCCAGAGACTGCAGCTTGAACTCGAAGCCCTCCACCACCTCCCCACGCGATCGCCATATCCTTCTGCTTGGCTCCATCGCCTCTCTCGGCCCCATTGCCATACAACCCCAATATTGTGCCGCAAAGCACGCGGTGCTTGGTCTTTTCAGGAGCTTGAGGGTGACAAGCGGCCTTCAAGGCATCCGCGTGAACCTGCTTTGTCCATACTTCATCGATACACCCATTGTGCCCGCCAGTGCGCGCTTCATACTTGCGGGAGGCGGCGTAGGCAAGGTGGAAGATGTCGTTGACGCAGGTACGCGCTTCGTAGCCGATTCTCGCATACTTGGTCGGGCGCTGGTTATAGGACCCAAGATGCATGTGCGTCAAAAGGACAATGGCGAGTGGGATCTGGTTACGCCCGGCGCACCTGGCAGTATCGAAACGGCGATTTTCGAGCCCTATGCCGACGATTGGGAGGACCAAGATCAGTGGAACCGCACCTTCATCAAGATCTTGAACATGGTCCAGGCTGGACGTGGCTGGGCGGGGTGGGCGCAGGACGTTGTCAAAGCATCCTTGTACAGTCTGGGGTTCGGGCGATGATTCGCATCATCGCGAAGCTTGGCAGGGCTCTTCCCTCGAGCACGGTGCGAACTGCGATTGAGCTAGAAGCTCGGGATCTTCCAATAAAGCTTCCACATAGATAATCGACTTTTTCTTGCCCGTGCTGCCATGACCACATTCTTCTGCGCGAAATGCACCTCGATGCGCTGGCCTACTGCGGTGGTTCTTACCTAGGTACAAGCATCATCTGACCCTACAACAACGTGGTCACCATCATGCACTAGAAGCGGCAACGACCTAGCTAAATTTGCTCGGACTCTTCCAAAAGCATCTGCGGATCGACAGCCGGCTGCTGCTAGAGGCCGACCATAGCGCATTCGGAGAGTATGCAGAGCAGCCCGGATAGGTCGGGACGCTACACGCTTAGGGCTGCATCATAGGGTCACGATCGCTGTGCTGTATTGGCTTGATGCATCGAACTTGAAAACATGCCGAATCATCCATACCATCTCAGCAGTGGCGCCACGTCTACACATGCTATGTTCCTTGTTAGCATCTCGTGTCCAGTGGTGTACGAGCGGCACGCACATTGGCGGGGGAGATTGCCATGTTTCAAGGCATGGGATTGTGATCCCTGTCGCGCAACCTCGGCAAAAAAAGAGTCGCCCAAGAACGCCCAGGCACAATTTCAAGACCATCGAATTAACCCGACCAAGTTAACTCCCGCGTTGGCGCCTTCCGTTAGATCCACATTGCAAATGTTTGGACGTGATGTCATGCCGCCTGTTCCTGCTGGTGCTGCTGTCCACCGAGTGGCCTTGATCGGCCGCTACGACCATCCCACGCCATCGCACGTGTGTTTATTCACCTTTTTGCGCGCCCGTTGTCCGGATCCAGGCGACTATACGAAAAGCTTTGTTGGCGCATGCAGGTGAAGCCGGGTGTCGCGCGTTCCTTCAGGCTTAGACTTCGCTCTTTCTGCGCTGTCACCATCATCGCGCCGTCACTACCGGCAACGCGGAACCGTCACTGAC